CAAGACCTTCAACTTCTAGACAACTAAAGGGATATTCTCGTCATACTGTACTCTCGATGACGTGCATGTCGGGTCATCGACATGCATGTTCAATACCATTAGTGCACATGCTGCACCAGACTATATTTACGGACGTTGACTGTTTGCTTTAGGCACTGTTTCAAGCATTGTACGATGGCCGATAACAAAAGTATTTGTTAACGTTTTCAAGTTCCATTCGGAGTATCCGAAACTACGACGCAATGTTAGTCGGAACTAACGTATCTAGTTAATCAGGTTATCGCATGATGTTCTTGCTCATTGGCAAACATTATTTCAGCAGTCGATACGTCCTCCAAACTTCAGTAACTGTTTCTATAGTCCCCGTTCGTCACAAACAACCGTTGACATTTCGTCAACCTTAAATTCGAATATATTAACCGTTTAGACGCACGAGAATATCCCTTTATCCAAACTAGCTAGTGTGTCTACTGTTTTCTTACTAGGCAAACAAAAGTTTGTCACAGCATGTGCGCAGTTCACTTTACCTATGTGCATTTATACTAAAAGCCATTCGTCCACAAGCAATGCATTTGCGCTATTGACGCAAGCTTTCATGAAGGCCAAACCAATGCTGATTCGTCAATGCTGATCGTCAGCTTGAAAGTAAAGATGAGCAAAGTGGTTCAACTGAATCTTATGGTTGCAGTAGGGCATATTAGACGTAAGTGACAAGTATGTGTCAGCAATTGCTTATGCTTCTTAACCCTAGAAAATTTTTATTCAATCCTTTTGGTGATGACGTAATGTGACAGAAAACAGTAGACACACTTAACCTCATCGGGAACCCTGAATGTATGGAATTTTTGAGCATAGGTGCCTGTGAGTGTGTAAGGGTGGATGTGGGTGTGTGAGTATGTATGTGCGTATGTGAGGGTGTGCGTATGTGTCATCTTACACGTAATTTAGTGAATGAGTGCATAGGTACTAGCTTCCAAGTAAATACGTGGATGAGTGCGTGTAGTCAGTGGTGTATGGAACTCGCATTGTGCCTGCCTGCTGCCAACGAAATATGCAAGCCCACACAGAGAAAACAGTTTTGTTGTGCGAAACTTCATGCTGCTGGCAGGATTTACATGCAAGTCACATATTGCAGGTCTACCATAAGCAGAGCGATGTGTCATCTGATAGGTAACTCACAACAACACATACTCTGCATGTCCAGGGAAAGTGAGTTGTGCTCGGAACAGATTGGCCAGACAGTTTTGTCCTATCAAATTCAGAATTGTTTCATCCTCCTCACAGTTGCCATTAACATCAGGAGCACACATTATTGCTAGATCTGAATGCCAGCTACCTATTGCACTGCTGGCACGTAGTTGGAGACAAAGGTGCCGCCAGTTTTCCAGCTCGCTGTTGATACAATGCAATACTGGTACAAAATGTCCGTATTCTGTGTTTTTAGTGTTGTATGTTTGTATATGAGTCTTGCGTCGTATGAACATTACGTACATGAGTTTAAAGTGTTCCCGCGAAAGTAGGTACTGAATTAGCTCACGCCAGGATTGCGTTGCGGAGATATTTGTAGCCCATACAATGTTTTATGGCGTCATTTACGACACTTTCTGTTTTTCTTGTCATTGTATGCACGTGAGTAGTGCCGCATGTTGCGCTTGCAAATCATGTTCTCAATGCCATTTTCTTTTGGTACAATTGGTCACCACTACATATCACTCGCATACACACGCCCAAGCAAGTCCGATATCAATCACTGTCCAGAAGTGCATGATGCATTCAACCACGCATAGAACACTGGCACACCAAGAACATGAACTCACGCAAAAACGAGAGGACTATTACACGACTTCGCATTGGACACACCGCTATCACACACAACTACATCATCACAAGAAGCCCGAGACCGAAATGCAACACCTGCAACACTTTCATCACTGTCAAACATCTGCTACTCACATGCCCACAATACCAACACCACAGGACAAACATACAAACATACTGCAGAGACGCCAACATCCCACTAACACTCACAACACTGCTCGGGGACTTACACCCCGAGCTAACAACACTACTCATCCACTACATACACAACACTGGGCTGATAAATGACCTGTAAATCTCCTCCCCTAGAGCCAAGGACAAAAAAGCCAAAAAAAGCCAAAAAAGAAGCCAAAAAGAAAAAAAACATTCAAAACAATGAGAATCAAAATAAAAGACCCCAGAATGGCAAAATGGCAAAAAAAAAACAAAAAAAAACAAACAAAAAATAATAATAGAAGGGGCAATCCGGCTACCCGGGAGGAGATAGCTAGGAACCCTGACCCACCCCTCAGCCCACCCTTACGAGCCAAGAAGACGACGGACACTTCAAGACAATGGACGGACCAACAACGAAGACGGACGACAGAACCGGGCCCAAATACAGAACGCTGTGGTGGCCCGTAAGCCACAAATACCATACCATACCATACCAGTGCATCATGCAGCAGAAGAAGCTTCATTGAACACACTCGTCATCATGAACGGCATCTTAGGAGCTTCATGAGTTTGGATCTGTGAACAGTAAGTGGAATGGGAGCATAATGGTACACGCTACCAAACCAGATTTTTTATAAACAAAAACATAACGTTTATTACCGTTTGGAGGTGATTTGTTTTATTTGGTCATTGTGTCAATGTCATGTTTGATCATATAGGTAACGAAAAGCGTACCTATTCAAAACGTTTATTCTTTGTCATGATGTGCCTGCAGGTTGTTTTCGCAGTATCCAATAGCAACCGTGTATGACCAGGCGCCCCTTGGACGCCTTGTCTAGCCCCGTCTTCCGGGACTGTGTGATGACTGCCTTTGCAATCTCAAGTGCCAGTTTCTGCCTCCGGCCTATTTCTTTATCAAAGGATGTTGGTAACTGAACGACCAGCTCTGCTCCAAGATTCCAAATCGTTTTACGGTATTTTATGCCTACAAAACGTTAATATTTGCTGGACGCGTTGATGCCCGAATAGGATGACCTTTATTCCTAGATACAGGCATTCAACGTTGAATCAATTACGCTTCTAGCCTTCTGTTTATTGGCTTTACATACTTTTTATTAATATTTATCATGTGTCTAGCCTGCAATTCATTTTACTCACCACCATCGGACGTTACAACTATAAGCTTATAACTACTATATACAACTATAAGCTATAAGCAGCTATTCGCTGACTTGACATATGATATTTTCGCGACGACTCGTTTCGCCCTTCCGCCATGTTAACTAATCATCCGTTACATCTTTATGTCAACAGGTATAGTACAAGTCATCCTTACCGTCGATACCGTAGAAGAATTTGCCGTCGACCACGGAAAACATATTGTGCTTCCCGTTGCTGGTAATTTTGTATTTGTCACTTAGGTGACAGTTACTATAGTTCGTTTTCTTTTTAAAGTTCGGCCCTGACTGTAAACATCTTTTTGAACACAGCACGAGAATTACTGAGAAAATTGGTTAGCGCCCATTGATACCGTTGTGTTAAACGCGGTGCGATTTATTAATTAGTTCAGTTATTACTCCTGACAAATCGTCTATCCCTGTGGGGTTGTAAATATGAGCAAATACGAGCTGAGGGGTCTGGGAAATAGGAGCCAGAAAGAAATAACTTTGATAAAGTTTTTCATCAGTGAAATTCAACGTGCGACAACCATTTTCCTCTTCTTAGTAATTCAGCTAGCAATTCTCGTGCTGTGTTCGAAGAGACGTTTACAGTGAGGGTCGAACTTAGGACGAACTATGGCACCTATCAGCAGATATACGTTCATAATGCAACAAGGGAACGAAAAGCGTGTTCAAAACTTAAACTCATTGTCCTTATGTGCCTGCAGGTTGTTTTCGCAGTATCCAATGGCAACCGTGTATGACCAAGCGCCGCTTGGACGCCTGGACGCCTCGCCCAGCCACGTCTTCCGGGACTGTGTGATGACTGCCTCTGCACTCACAAGTGCCAGTTTCTGCCTCCGGCTTATTTCTTTATCAAAGGATGTTGGTAACTGAACGACCAGCTCTGCTCCAGGATTCCAAATCGTTTTACGGTACCTTGTCCATCACCATCAAGAGATCAACATTTTTGCAGGCACTTACGTACGGCTGGTATGTATTCATATTTGATTGTCAGCACGTTGTAGAATGCTTTACATTTTGTGTGATCATTTACTGTCCTCTTTCCTACACAATGCCAACAACAATGATGTTTGTCATCGTTTGCATGCATCTATTGGGATTGATGTTTGCGTTTACTGACAGACGCTTGTCAACATTTTCAGTAGTGTCCGGCGCGATGCTGAATGCGACCTGTTATCTGTTGGATCTACTCTGTGAGCCCAGACCCCAGTGCAAGTGAGTTTTTTGTCACACCAGTGCCGGATCACTCTGTAATATGTGCAAGAGCCTGTGACTTTGTTTGCTTGGCTAACTAAATGCATACCTACGGAAAACCCTTCCAACGTTGCTTTGGTTTTTAGTAATTTACTGTACTTTTAAAGCAGTGCCTACACATATCAATCAAATACATTCTAAATACCTTAACCCTCGCCCGTATTGGTGTTTTTCCAGCCGCGAAGGTAAAAGGGGGGGGTTCGTTGGACCCCCCCCCTTGCCGTTTCGCCCCTGATCGAGCTAGAGCTTCGCGGAAAAAACAAGCGTGTTGCCCGTGACGAGAGGAAGCCGATGATACCTAATTTTAAGGTCCTAGGTCATTGGTTGACCTTGCAGGTCAGGTCAATGACCCAAAAGTCGGGAAAATCGGAACCTGTTAGAACGTCGTAAAGTGTGGCTGCATTAGGGTTTTTCGGGGCGCTGATCACGAATATCATGTTAGTTTTGATCACAGATAATGTATTTATGCATTTAGTCCAGGTCGGGTCAGGTCAGGTCAGGTCAACCAGTAGGGGTCCTGCCGGGTATTCCTAGTAGGTGTCAACCGCCTCTAACAGCTTCGTAACATGTTACGAAGGCACCAAAACTACTTCGTAAATGTTCATATAGTTGCTAAATTCGAATTCAGCTAAAAAACTGGCCTAGAAACATGTAAAACTCGAAAAAGTGAACCGAGGTCACCAAAGGTCAATGACCTGACCTGACCTTCAGGTGACCTGGACACCCACCCTAATGAATGGGGGCAACATCATATCACATGTTTGAACCCTTGAAACCACGAAAAGACTGCAAACGCGCGGCTAATGCGAGCCGACATACGCCGAATCGCGATTCCGGCCAAACATGGTCTCGAAAAGTAGGTCACAGGTCAAAGGTCATTGGGGTCAGGGTCATGAAATTTTCAGGGTAGGTGTAAAATTGATTAACGCGAGGGTACTGAAAGTTTCGTCGCGATCGGCCGCTTTTTACGCGAGTTATTCGCGAAAAACCATGGGGGGGGGGTCCGTTCGACCCCCCCCCCCTATACGGGCGAGGGTTAATATGGTCCTTTCCATAACCATCTAACCGAATTCCCGGTATTATTTTTTTCTGAAACCTTCTCCCTTGCTGGCAGTGGCACTGTTCAACTACAGCGCTGGACGTCGTCTACTTTTTGCTAGAAACAAATGTCATCACCCGTCCATGAACTTCGGGCTGCTCACAACTATATTGCCTTGGCAAGTTCTTTAAGACTTAATACTGGACTTGGGCTGCGAAAGCTAATGACAATTTGGGCAGCTTGATATTGCAATGGCTATGGTGCGAAGGTCCAATATGGCGAACAGCTCGACTATTCACCATTGTCAACGCTTATGATAGCTAAATATCATTTTGCTTGGTGTACATTCACGTCTCGTTTCCTTGCTCCATTTGTACCTCACCGGTCTTCCGTCACACAGGCTTCGGCTGCAGCACAAGCCACATTCATCGGCCTTATCATCAGTTATTCATCCTGCAAGTTTTAAGTCACTTCGTTGTGACCCGGACATCGTCATCTTTCAACGACTTCAAATGACATTTCATTCATCATCGTCGATCAGACTCATCATGTAAAGACACTTCCATAATGCTATCTGCCATCTACGTTTGTGCAGGAAGCAAATATCAGGTTGTTATTAGCTGCGGGCTACTCAGTACCGACTGAACTACTGGCAGTAGTGTGCGAGCACCTAATACTTGTATTGTGATACCAAAGCTAAAACAGATGATAGCTTAGCGTATAGCGCCCTACCGCTTTCCACACACACATAAACAAAACTTGACTTTGGGCATTAGCACCATGGCAGGATAAACAGGCAGTTTGGCTGTTTTTCACTGCTTTCATTGGCAGGTGTTAATGCTCATTCCCGTTTCATGTGATGTTAGAACAGCCCTTCACCATAGTCCTGTTTTCTCCTTCGCTGTTTTCCATAGACATCAGATGCGACATGCACCCCAACGATCGGTCAGGCGCATCACCGTCAATCCGGTCGCCTGTCAATCAGTTCGTAATCACCGTCAGTCTTCGACATCGGCCAACACACTTATCCACATTATCGCCTTACTTTTGATCTTATCAATATGCAAGAATGAGTGCAAAATGCATTGCAATATTGTATCAGTTGATGTTGTATCGCAATGACAACGTATCCTCACCTCACATTTGTTGTGCATACTTGATCACGAATGCTAGTTGTTATACACAGATTCACATGGTGAAGTTTTACTCCGTTGGCGTTTTCTTTCCATTCTTGTAGTCGATCAAGAGCGATTGCAGTTGTACATGCGGCCTTACACATGCGTCCCTTCATGTTAGCTGATTGATATGTTGGACACATTCCTGTGATTCCTGAGTGTGGTTCCTGTGACTCCAAGTAGTTCTGCATTGGTATTGCTTCACTTATGTTGTACCCAAACATCGTTTCTAGTTTTGTCTTAGCTTGCAGCTGTATGCCATGAACACACAGGGTACTGCGCATCTTTATCGTGACATTACTGTAGTTTTGTCGCCTTCGCGGATGATTAGGACCATGAGCTCAGTTGCAGATGCGTCCAGCAGCCACCGACATTCTACATTTAGTCCTATTATCGGTTCTTATCCACATACCAACATGATTTGAACATTTCACACGTTTAGTGATGAAATGAACAGGTATCATCTACTACATTATATTTTCATGTAAAGCACACTACAGTCTGTGAAAAAAGAAAACTATTTGGAGCAACAATCATGCCTTAGACAGTATAGTTGCCATAGATATTACGTTGTGCAGCGGGCAGGCCGGTGCACGAAATGTAACCGCAGGTTGTTTGAAAAGACAAACACTATTCGTTAGAATTGTGTTTTTCTATTGAAAAACAACCGGAGCGGTCCTTCTCCGGGCTATGTTTTGCAAGTCTGGCAGCGAATCGAGACATCTTGACCGGGGCCTAAACGTGCATTGCGATTTTCGTAAAAAGTTCAGGGTATGGGTTCCCGCAGGCGATCTACCTGATGGCACCGGTCGCTACTCGCTTAAAACCTCGTGGCACGTGGCACGTGCGATTCCATTTTCCCCATGTTAAGTCAACGGGGTTTTGGACACTTTTTGCGCGATCGGGAATGGCGGAAAAAATCGCCGATCAAGGTATGGTTTGCTGCACACCATTTTATGACTGACACATTCAGGTACACGCCCATGTGCGCCGTCTACCCGTAAGAAGTCGATATTTTTTGTAGTACGACTTTGAAGTTCGAGTTTTTTTGCTCCCCATGTTAAGTCTATGGACGTTTTTGCAGAGACATTTTCATTCGTTCATTGTACAAAATTATATGATACGATTTTGTTTAAACTTCCAGGACTTGTTGAGAAAAGACCATAAAACATGCTGTTATGTAACCGCAGGTTGTTTGAAAAGACAAACACTATTCGTTAGAATTGTGTTTTTCTATTGAAAAACAACCGGAGCGGTCCTTCTCCGGGCTATGTTTTGCAAGTCTGGCAGCGAATCGAGACATCTTGACCGGGGCCTAAACGTGCATTGCGATTTTCGTAAAAAGTTCAGGGTATGGGTTCCCGCAGGCGATCTACCTGATGGCACCGGTCGCTACTCGCTTAAAACCTCGTGGCACGTGGCACGTGCGATTCCATTTTCCCCATGTTAAGTCAACGGGGTTTTGGACACTTTTTGCGCGATCGGGAATGGCGGAAAAAATCGCCGATCAAGGTATGGTTTGCTGCACACCATTTTATGACTGACACATTCAGGTACACGCCCATGTGCGCCGTCTACCCGTAAGAAGTCGATATTTTTTGTAGTACGACTTTGAAGTTCGAGTTTTTTTGCTCCCCATGTTAAGTCTATGGACGTTTTTGCAGAGACATTTTCATTCGTTCATTGTACAAAATTATATGATACGATTTTGTTTAAACTTCCAGGACTTGTTGAGAAAAGACCATAAAACATGCTGTTATGCTTCTTTAAGCTGTGCAAATTCGTTTGTTCTTTTTAAGCTCGTTTGAAAATGAAAAATTTTAACATGGAAAGTCAATGGGAGCATCTTTGTTGCTTAATAACTTTTTACAGTTGAGATATATTTAAGTAAAAAGTTGATAGGTTACACAACTTTTGATGCTCTTTCCAATGATATATAGAACGTTATTGCACGTTGTGCCGTTTTTGAGGAATTTGGTAAAAAAGCACGACTTTACCGAGATTTGAGCTCAGACCTATATATGGTCTTGGCTCAGACAGTATACGAACAGGTGACAGGGATACCTCCCATTGAAGGATGCGATTTAATACTAAACATTAGCAGCCGGCCGCCTTGGGGACGTTTTTGTACGACTTATATATCCGCAGCCACTGGACCAATACACTTGCGGTTTTTTGTATGGGGTAGCGTATACCCTTCTTAGAAGTATTTTACTATGGACGATGCATGCGGGTAACCCCTACTGCACGTGACACGTGTAATACGGAGAGGTGTCAGTTTTGTAATAAGTGCAATAACTCGGTAATTACTGGGCCGATCGCGCTGAAACTTGGCATGGAGGTAGTCACCTAACAGGCGATCCATTTTCATGTGCCACGGTAGGGGTGCCGCTGCACGTGCGCACGTGCAGGGTGACGCTTCCAGATCTCGTGACCGGCCGGGCCGATTGAGTTCAAATTTTGCACACCGCCAGAGACCGCGTAGTAGGGTGCATTGCACAGATCAGTTGGGTCCCAGGTTGCACGTGCGCACGTGCAGGGTGACGCTTCCAGATCTCAGGAACGGCCGGGCCGATTGCATTCAAATTTGGCACAGTTTTAGACACCGATCAGTAGGGTGCCGTGCGCAAGTCAGTTAGTATGTATTTTCATGTGTCACGGTTGGGATGCAGCTGCACGTGCGCACGTGCAGGGTGACACTTTCAGATCTCGAGAACGGTTGGGCCGATTGAGCTCAAATTTGGTACACCGCTAGAGACCAGCGAATAGGGTGCCGTGCAAAAGTCAGATGGGACCATTTCGCACGTGCGCACGTGCAGGGTGTCGCTTCCAGATCTCGAAAACGGCCGGGTCGATTGCACTCAAATTTGGCACACCGCTAGAGACCGGTTAGCAGAGTGCAGTGCACGTCATTTCGTAGCACACCCACTCCGATCTGCACGTGCAAGGCTCATCCTCTCGTTTGGCGGGTGGCGTTTTTGCGGCGTTACAGAGGTGCTTGCTCAAACAACCTGCGGTCCCGCGATGCGGAGCCCAGCATCGCAGATGCTGGTAACCGCAGGTTGTTTGAAAAGACAAACACTATTCGTTAGAATTGTGTTTTTCTATTGAAAAACAACCGGAGCGGTCCTTCTCCGGGCTATGTTTAGCAAGTCTGGCCGCGAATTGGGGCAACTTGGTAGGGGCCTAGACGAATCGCTCAATCTTCGTAAAAATTTCAGGGTATGGGCTCCCGGGGGCGATCTACCTGGTGGCACCGGTCGCTACTCGCTTAAAACCTCGTGGCACGTGGCACGTGCGATTCCATTTTCCCCGTGTTAAGTCAACGGGGTTTTGGACACTTTTTGCGCGATCGCCAATGGCGGGAAAACGAGCCAAGAAGGAGGTGGTTTTCTTCCCAGCATTTTATGGCAAACACGTTCTGGTACACGCCAGTGTGCGCCGTATACCCGTCAGAATTCGTTAACTTGAGTTGCACGAGTTTGAAGTTGAACTTTTTTCGCTCCCCATGTTAAGTCAATGGGCGTTTTTGCAGAGGCATTTTCATTCGCTCATTGTACAAAATTATATGATACGATTTTGTTTAAACTTTCAGGAATTGTTGAGAAAAGACCATAGAACATGTTGTTATGCTTCTTTAAGCTGTGCAAATTCGTTTGTTCTTTTTAGGCTCGTTTAAAAATGAAAAATTTTAACATGGAAAGTGAATGGGAGCGTCTTTGCTGCTTAATAACTTTTTACAGTTGAGATATATTTAAGTGAAAAGTTGATAGGTTATACAACTTTTGATGCTCTTTCCAATGATATATACAACTTTATTGCACGTGGTGCCGTTTTTGAGAAATTTAGTAAAAAAGCACGACATTACCGAGATTTGAGCTCAGACCTATATCGTTACGGTGTCAGGCGGACACGAGGACAGGTGGCGCCGCCGCCGCCCGCATAGCGGCGGGAATGTGAACTAACCTGTTTACCAGGGTGTTCACGCCGTTCACGGGCACCGCACACTGCTGCGATCTATGGTATGGTACCATCGGGGGACCGGCCGCCGTCGGCACCATTTCGGGACTTTGCATCGCAATAAAAGGCTTATTTACAATTGAAAATGGCCTAGCGAGAGTCGTTATGGAATCAGAATTTGATGCTCTACAAAACTAGGCTATTTTCATTGTGATGGCATCACAGACTACACCGCTAAACCCAATAAAGCAGATTTATGTCGCGTCATCGATGATTACATATAATGTTTCTTTGATATATATGTAGTCGGGTCTTTCAGCTGCGTCCCTCCCCTCCCTCGCCGCGCCGGCGGGTCGGCCATCCGCGGCTTGCCGCCCGCCGGCTGCTGGCCGGTCAGCTGGCCGGTCAGCTGGTCGCCCGCGGCTGTCGGTGCAGTGCGGGATGCCTACTTGCGGGGGGCCGTCGTGGCGGCGGCCCGGGTGGACTGGGCGAGCAGTGAGTTGGGGAGCGCTGCGCTGTCGGTGCTCTAGTTTGTATTGCGTTCGCATGATACGGCTTGAGCCAATACAGAGTGAACTGATTGAGCTGAGCAAGTCTTTATATACATTGAAAAGTAAAGCACTTTTTACTGCATCTACGGTGAGATGCTAGATAAAATTTATGGTCTAATGGTACCCATTACTTAACAATTAAGTGAATCATTTCGTCGCTAAACTCTCGTAAATTCGTATGTCCGCCTCACTATGGAGTTTGGACCGTAACGTATGACCTTTGCTCAGACAGTATACGAACAGGTGACGGGGATACCTCCCATAGAAGGATGCGACACGATTTTACTGCTAAATAGCGGCCGGCCGCCGTGGGGACGTTTTTGTACGACTTATATCTCGGCAACCACTGGGCTGATACACGTGCGGTTTTTTGTGTGGGGTAGCTTTTTCCCTTCTTTCACATAGTGTGCTACTCTCGATGCATATGGGTGACCCCTAACGCACGTTCCACGTGCAAAGCCAAGAGGTGCCTGTTTTGGAATAAGCGCAATAGCTCGCGGTAATTACTGGGCCGATTGCGCTAAAACTTGGCATGGAGGTAGACACTTTCCAGGCGATGCATTTCCATGTGTCTTGGTAGGGGTGCAACTGCACGTGCGCACGTGCAGGGTGACGCTTCCAGATCTCGAGAACGGCTGGACCGATTGTGTTCAAATTTGGCATAACGCTTGATACCGATCAGTAGGTTGCAGTCATTTAGTATGTATTTCCATGTGCCACGATTGGGGTGCAACTGCACGTGCGCACGTGCAGGGTGACGCTTCCAGATCTCGAGAACGGCCGGGCCGATTGAGTTCAAATTTGGTACACCGCTAGAGACCGATTAGTAGGGTGCCGACTGCCGTGCGCAAGTCAGTTTGGACCCATCTTGCACGTGCGCACGTGCAGGGTGACGCTTCCAGATCTCAAGAACGGCTGGACCGATTGCACTCAAATTCGGCAAACATCTAGAGATCGATCAGTAGGGTGCCGTGCACAAGTCAGTTAGTATGTATTTCCATGTGTCACGGTTGAGATGCAACTGCACGTGCGCACGTGGAGGGGTCGTTTCAAGATCTTGAAAACGGCTG